GGTGAAAGTTCTCAAGAAAGTGGCAAAAATCATCAAGAATATGATCAAATCGTTTGATTAGTGTTACATGTCACAATCCAAAAAAGGAAACCAAAGTGGTCGCAAAGGTGGTTGCAACCAGGTGTCGCAAATATGGTTGCAACCATCACCAAGAATTGCAACCAGCATCTATACGTTCGATCAGGTCAACAATGGACACACAATGAGATAACTATTTTGTTGGGACATGTTTTTAGTCAAAGAATAGATCAGCAAGAACTTTATGATCTAGGTTTAAGAAGATCAGCTTGTGCAATCTCATCAAAATGGCAATCAATGAAAAAGGTATTAAACAATTATGTAAATAATTCTTTAATACAAGTCTAAATATAAGAAATAATTCAATTAAAAAAATACATAATCTTTTTTCTTTCCTATTTGTTATGATTCGTGGATATTTTTCTCAATCCTGTAAATGAAAGGCAGCTAATTGAAATTCATTTAGTTTATATAAAAAATTTATCTATATTTATTGTTTTCTACAAAAAAAGTTTTTCATTGTTTTGTACTAACATTCTTTTATCAATTATAAATTTTCTTTCCTCTTGATAAATTTCATAGGTAATCCTTTCTTTGTCTAAATATGTTTGCAAAGATTTGGTACCTGCTAATTTAAAAATGTAAGGTGCAATTTTCTCACCTTGTTCCTTGTTCAAAATACTTCTAATGGTGCTATAATTCTTGGGTTCCATGGTATACCTAACATAAATTAATTTCATATTAACTATTTTTATATAGAGGTAATTCTATATATCACCTAAATATTGAGGATAACAAATGGAAGATTTTAATAATTACGTTACTAAATTTTGATCCCTGAAATTCTTGGTAACACCAATATCATTTAATGCATCACATAAACAATCAAAGATTGTAATTCTATCTTTTAATGTTAAATTTAAATGATTTTTTTCAAATAATCCCTTAAATTTCCTTCTGGTAAATGATTTAAAATCATTGCATAATTTCCATTAACTGGGAGTTTAGTTATACAAAAGAAAGGAACAATCATTTGTGATTTAATTTTACAATAATTCATTGCCTGTAATTAAATATAGAATAAATTAGTATTATATAATACAGTGTCATTTATTTTGGTTTTAAATGACCTCATCAAAAAAGCATTTTCCTGGATTACTTGAATCGTTTAAACTTTTTAATACTACATATTGCTCTCCCAAATAACCAAATTCTTTGTTATTCACATTATAATCAACTATTTGTCTTCTTGTCTGTGCAACAGTATAAATTGAACTAATCCACCTTCAGTTAAATTTGTTACTTTTTCAAACTGCTCAAAAGGTATCCATTCTAAAATATATCCTGGCAAAGATAATTTCATTTGAGATTGTTGAATAAAATTATCAAATATGTTGTTTCCAGATGTCCAAGTGGTGAAAAGACTCTGTAATTGTAAACGAATACAACTTTCACAGAATCTATCAGAGTATCTTGACAATTTGCATTTGTTACATTCTTTTAGTTTTCCCAATTTATCTATTGCTGTTCTTAATTCCAACTCATAAATAAACCTTTCATTACAAAGTTCTTTTTCATTTTCAGAAAGTTTCTTGTTTTCCTTGATTAATGAAAAAAAAATAATCTTTTTTACTTTCTCTATCAGAGTTAACAAAAGCACTATTATACATTTCATTATAAATTTTAAATACAGATTTCTCTCTTTCTGATGATAATAATGACATTATATAAAAAATTTACTTGATGTCCTAATGAATATAATGGGGGGTTTTTCAGAGTATAACATTATTTCCTTTTTCTTTTTTAACATATATAAAAGAAGAAAAGGTTGACGTGTTATGGTTCCTTCCTAGATTTTTTTCCTAATCTAACAATTTTACCCAAATTTGAAATGTTTAATTGCACAGGAAATATTCAAAGACTTGAAATGGAAAATTCAGTGCAGTTACAGTAATAGCGAATCATAAATCTTCTAAAAATTTTGTTGCTCAACTTTATTAAACTGAATTGTTGGGGAAGGTAAGATCAAAATCAAAGGGTAATGAGTCATTTTTTAATTTTTTAATTTTTTTTGCTACATTGGCTTGTATATATATTAATTGAAAAATACTTTCGTTTCCGAAAATGATAAATGGTTGCAATTACTTTTACATTGCTGCATCATGCGAATTCCCATTGCTATTTATTTGGCAACCGAAAAATTTATTTATTTTCGTTCAAAACTTCAGGGTTAAGCGAAGCAGATACTTGACCGAAAGGAAATCGTGTTTCACTTTAGATATTTTTTCACTGTCTACCTTTAGGTTTTCGTCTTGCCCTGACATTTTGGACTGTTCAAAATGACCAAAAACTTATGGCATTTCCTTGGAACCTTTACATCAGATCCCAGATCGCCAAAGACTTGTCACCAACATGTTGGTATATTTTCGAGACCGAGATTCAAAAAACGTTTTTTTACATTTTATTGTTATTATTATTATTATTATTATTATTATTATTATTATTATTATTGGTCAATTAATTGAATAAATAAAAAAAAATTTTCATTTACATTGTGTGACAAACTTACTTTTTAAAAAAATGTTTGAAATATATAGTTTGCCATTTGAACTTCTGACTGAAATATTCACATATATTGAAAATGATCACCAAGCATTGTATTCTTGTATTCTTGTCAACAAACAATGGCACAATATAAATATTCCAACTTTATGGAAGGATCCATTTGTTTGTAAAAACAACATCAAAATATTAATTAATTGTATGTTAGAAGAAGATAAGGATTTCTTAACTAGAAATTGCTTTGTATTAACTTTTGAACTATTGGAGAAACCACCATTATACAATTATGCTAAATTTTGTACTATATTTATCAAGTGTCGTCATACTTTTTATTACCTGGTAAAAAATAGAAAATTAAATCGAATTTTACAAAATAAATTAGAAAATTTTATTTTAGATCATTCAGCAGGTATTAAAAAGTTTAGTTCTCATTATATAGATTTGTAATTTATTAATTAATCATCATAGATTTGATAATTGTTTTCAGAATCTTTATGAAATATATTGTAAGAGTTCTGATAGTGGTGAATTTTTTGATAAATTAGCAAATATTTGTAAAAATATTCAATCATTAAGAATATATTATGATAGTAAGGTCAAAAATATATATAATTTATATAATTTAGCACAGCTAATTAAAGCACAAAAGCAAATTAAATATTTATCTATTACATCACCAAAGTTGCCAGATGAATTAAGGAAAGCAATATTAACACATTCACAATCAATAATTTTTTATGAATCTCATGCCAGAAATAATTTTAATAGTTTCTTATTACCAACTCTTAAAAACTTAAAGACTTTAGAATTATCAATTTATTCTGATAGCAATATGATAAATTTGAAAAATATTTCACTGCCAAATATTGAATCTGTGAAGGTAGAGATTACTTATCACCCATATATATCAGACTTGTCTGATTTTATTAATATCAATGGAAAAAATCTTAAAAATCTGAATATTGTTGGTGGTTACAATGATGGATTATTGAGAAAGATATTTCAATCAATTGCACAACATTGTAAAAATTTAGAAGATTTATCTATAATATATAAGGATAAATTAGACCAGGAATTAATGGAAGCACTTAATAATTGCATTAAATTAAAAAGTATTATATCTAATAATATTTATAATGGTGAGATAGATTTTGATAAAGTATTGACAGTATTAAATGAAACATTATCAGAAAACTTAAAGTCAATAATTTTCACTTGTAAGGTTTATAATGTTAGTAACCATTCTTTGGATATCCTAATGAAGAATTGGAAAGGACCCAAACCTTTAGTAATAAAATTTGGAGAATATAGGCATGATAATTTTCTAAAAAGTGATGATAGAAAAATATTAGAAAAGTATAAAGATTTAGGGTTTTTTAATTTTATTATTCCTTCAATGTAGATCATGGCAGGGTTTTTTTTGAAAATTTAATGTTTAAATAAAAAATTTTTTTTAACCTCACGCCTTGTGATAATCTTTAATTAAGGTCAGAAAACTGGTATTGCACAAACAATTGTGGAAAATGTGGATTTGCCTGTGAACAAAAAAAATATATATTTATAATATTTACAAAAATAACTACTATTATTTTATATAAAATAACTAAAAACAAATAAAAAAAAAATTCTTGTACAGAATGATAGTTTTTAAAACAACTTGGGCATTTGTTGCTGCAACATAATACTACATTACATTTAGAACACCAAATTTGACTTTGTGGAGGGTTTTGGTGCATCTTTTTTTAAAAAATCATACCTGCACCACTAGCAGTAGTTTCATTCTTCACAGTATTCAGGAAAATGATCATTACCAATTAATCTAGTTGCTGGTAATTCAAAAATGTCAGAAACACGGTATCTTTTATTGTCACTTTTCTTTTCAGATGTCTCTCCATCTTCTCCATTATGAGTATTTCTTTTTAATGGGTTTTGAATTGCTTCCTTAATCAATTCTTTAACTATTTGCATTCTAAACTTTTTATGTTCTTGAGAAATTTCTAACTTTTTACAAACAATAAATGAATTTACAACAGCTGTGTCTAAGAGCCAGAAAAAAAGAACAATTGGTAAACATTAGCATTAATTTAATGTTAAAGGTGATTAGTGGTGAGAAGTTTTCAAATATAAATTACAATCTTGATGATTACTAATTAATATTTTCTTATAAAAAGAGTTGGAGCCTTTTTGATTCTGAAGGTAACATTTCCAATATCTAATCATATAAATAATTAATTACCTCAACTTAATTAAATAATATTCACTCATGCTTATATATATTTAATATATTATCATTTTAATTCCTCGCATATAAATTATCAATTAGTTGGTCATCAATTACTGGCACAATAAATCTGCCTTTTTGTTTTTCAAAAATAAATTTATTTTTATTGAATAAGTAAATTTTTTTTTCATTTACATTTGTGCAACAAACATTATTTTTAAAAAAAAAAATGATTGAAATAAATATTTTGCCACATGAACTTCTGACTGAAATATTTGAATATATTGATGATTGCCAAGAATTATATTCTTGTATTCTTGTCAACAAACAATGGCACAATATAAATATTGCAACTTTATGGAAGAATCCATTTGTTTGTAAAGACAGCACCAAAATATTAATTAATTGTATATTAGAAGAAGATAGGGATTTCTTAACTAGAAATTGCATTGAATTGACATTTGAACTATTGGAGAAACCACCATTATACAATTATGCTAGATTTTGTACTATATTTTCCAAGTATTGTGATTTTTATTACCTGATAAAAAATAGAGAATTAAAGCAAATTTTACAAAATAAATTAGAAAATTTTATCTTAGATCATTCAGCAGGTATTAAAAAGTTTAGTTCTCATTATATAGATTGTAATTTATTAATTAATCATCATAGATTTGATAATTGTTTTCAGAATCTTTATGAAATATATTGTAAGAGTTCTGATAGTGGTGAATTTTTTGATAAATTAGCAAATATTTGTAAAAATATTCAATCATTAAGAATATATTATGATAGTAAGGTCAAAAATATATATAATTTATATAATTTAACACAGCTAATTAAAGCACAAGAGCAAATTAAATATTTATCTATTACATCACCAATGTTACCAGATGAATTAAGGAAAGCAATATTAACACATTCACAATCAATAATTTTTTATGAATCTCATGGCAATGAAGATAATTTTGACAATTTCTTGTTACCAACTTTTAAAAATTTAAAAACTTTAGAATTAACAATTCATGCTTATAGAAAAATAATAAGTTTGAAAAATATTTCACTACCAAATATTGAATCTTTAGAGTTATATATTACTTCTCAACCATATATGTCAGACTTGTCTGATTTTATTAATATCAATGGAAAAAATCTTAAAAATCTGAATGTTGTTGGTGGTTGTACAGATGGATTGGAAAAATTATTTCAATCAATTGCACAATATTGTAAAAATTTAGAAGATTTATCTATAATATACGAGGATGAATTGGACCAGGAATTAATGGAAGTACTTAATAATTGTATTAAATTAAAAAGTATTATATTTGATGATTTTGATATATTAGATTTTGATAAAATATTGACAATATTAAATGAAACATTACCAAAAAACTTAAAATCAATAACTTTTACTTGTAAGGTTTATAATGTTAGCAACCATTCTTTGGATATTCTAATGAAGAATTGGAAAGGACCCAAACCCTTAGTAATAAGATTTGATGAATATAGTTATGAAAATTGTTTAGAAAGCAATGAAAGAAAAATATTAGAAAAATATCAAGATTTAGGGTTTTTAATAATCAGTGAAAAAACCTTTTAATCTTTCAACAATTATAGCAACCATTCATCCAAATCCTGTTTATACAAGTAGATTATTGAATTTTACAAATCTTCTTCAATTATTAGTAACAATTATTTGATTTATTGTTTTTTATTAATGATATTTTACTTAAATTAGAATAAACCATTCCTTGTAATTAAAGTGGCCTATCACAATGCATCTTATTATTGTTGTTGTTGTTATTATTTTCAAGCATTTATAATTTATTGCTTTATATTTTATTTTATTTTAGTATCAGTAAATATATAATAAAAATTTTATAAAAATAAATTTGTTCAATGTTTTTGAATATTTAAAAATATTTGACATATATTCTAATTGACTACTCAAAGACAAAACAGTATCGGCAATGTTACAAACAATTTTTACATAATTTAAAAATGTTTCTGCAAAAGATTTGAGTGATTACAAAAATAATTGTAAAGATTCACTTTTTTTTGCTTTTGTAAAAAATAATGAACAATTTATATACTTAAAAACAAATATTTTATAAAAGTTTTTTTTGTTGCCTTGTAAATAAAGGCTATTTTCTTTTATTTATCTATTATGAATCATATGCTACAAGAACTCAATTCCCCTTGCAAAATGCTTTTTCATTGAATACAAAGTTTACCATCCACTTCAATTGCCTTAGGTACACAGATATTTCTCCTGGAAAGCATATGTTGCTCCAGTAGGTGTGCAAATATTCTAACAATTTCACTGGATAAGAATACACCTTTATAGCATTGCAAAAGGGCCATCATTATTTAGTTATAGTTATATGGCACCATTAAGTGCTCACAGACTCATGTAGGTGCACCAAAGTAAATTTGTAAACTAATTAATTGACAAGCATCAAATTATTGTGAATTAACTGATAAAAGTTAAGCCATGGTTGTATTATTTCAAAGCATTATTATAATTTAGCTTTAAGAAACAAAATAAGGATAAAATAAAAATGAATAAATTATAATGGAGATTAAATCAATCCTTTCTTTTACTATTGATACTAGAATTTAATGTTTATTAATTGATTAATTAATATTGGTAATAATTTCAATTAATTGATAATGAAAATTTTATTTACCTTCGTTGACATTTTAGAGAAAAGGGTTAAAATCAAGATTATTTAACAAACTATCATTACTTGTATAAATTTTCAAGCTTTTAGATTTAGTAATCTCTTCATCTAAGGATCTACTTATATGATATGCATCTGGATGTGATTTGTAGACTTGACCATTACAACCAGTAGTAGTATTATTGCTATTATTATCATTATTATTAATAGTTTCAATATATTTATTATAAGCAAACTCAAGCAGCCCTCTACTAGTTGGTCTTTTTGAAGGATCCACATCCCAACACCTCTGCATCATTTGCACATAATCTTCAGGCATTCCAGGTAATATTAGTGGTCGTAAACATTCTGCACATATATCAAAAATCAAATTATGATTGTGAGCTCTATCATCAAATGGTGGATGACCTGCAAATATTTCCCACATTAACATCCCAACACTATAAATATCTGATTCTTTTTACCTTTAAGTATCTCAGGTGCAACATATGATACAATTCCATAGACTTTATTTGATGATTTTTCATTAACTGGTCCACATAATCCCAAATCTCTAATATAACAATTACCTCCTTCTACAAGTATATTGCCACTATGTAAATCACAATGAATTAAATCTTTTTGATGTATATCATCTAATGCATTGCATAAATAATAAAAGATTGTAATAATGTTAAATTTAAATTTTTTTGCAAATAACCCCTTAAATTTCCTTTTGATAAATAATTTGAAACAATTGCATAATTTCCATTATCTGGGAATTTAGTTATACCAAAGCACTTAACAATCAACCCTGATTTAAATTTAAAATAATTCATTGCCTGAAAATAAATATAAAATCAATTAGTATTATATAATACAGTGTTGTTTATTTTGTTTTAAATGACAATTACCAACCTCATCAAAAAAGTCTTTTCCTGAATTACTTGAATCATTTAAACTTTTTAATACTACATTTTGCCCATTTAAATAACTAAATTCCTTTTTATTTTCATTGTAATCAATTGTTCTTCCTCTTGTCCATGTAGCAGTAAAAATCTACCTTTGTTACATCTTCAAATTGCTCAAAAGGTATCAATTCCATAATATAAGTTTGCAAAGATGATTTCATTTAACATTGTTGAATAAAATCATCAATTATGTTATTTCCAGATGTCCAAATGGTAAAAAGGCTCTGTAATTATAAACTAATACAACCCTCACAGGATCTATCTGAGTATCTTGTCAGTTTACACTTGTTGCATTCTTTTGGTTTACCCCTTTTATTTCTTGCAGCATTTAACTCAAACACATATATAAACTTTTCCTTGCAAAATTCCTTTTCACTTTCAGAAATTTCTTTGTTTTCTTTGACCAATGAAAAAAAATAACCTTTTCTATTTACTTTGTTGGAATTGACCATTGCATTATTAGACATTTTACTATAAATTTATATACAAAATCCTTTCTTTCTGGTGATAACAATGATAATAGTTTAACATGTGACATTATATAAAAATATAAAATATAAATTTAACTTGGTGTTTTAATGAATAGAGTTTTTTACCCAAATTTGAAATGTTTTGTTGCACGGGAAATATTCTGTTGTAAAGAAGACTCGTTAAGACTTGAAACGGTAAATTCAGTGCAATTATGATAATAACGGATTGCAAATCTTCCAAAAATTTTTGTTGCTCTAGTAAACTGGGAAGGATGAAATCAAAATCGAAGGGTAATGAGTCTTTTTTGCTACACTGGCTTGGAAATTGATTTGAAATTTGAACAAAAGTATTTTTGTTTTCCAAAAATGATAATGGTTGTAGTTATTTTTACATCATCGTATCATACGAACTCCCATTGCTATCTATTTGGCAACCGAAAAATTTATCTATCTTTGTTCAAAGTGTTAGAATTGAGCGAAGCAGATACTTGACCGAAAGGAAATCGTATTTTGTTGAGTTATTATTATCAGTTAATTAATTCAATGATTGATAAACAAATTTTTTTTGATTTTGACCATTTGAGAAATAGTGGATGATCTGGATAGGAAAAAATTTATTTTTAATTTCCCTTTCGGAGAAAACAAAAAAAACTTTGTTGCGAGGTCCTGGCCACATATTAATTTTCATTGAGGTATTTTTTGCTGATCATTTTCAATTTTTATACGCACTATACGTTTAGTATTAGTATCGTATAATGTTCAACTATACTAATACGCATATTTTCCCACTCTAATAGAGCAAGAAAAATCCGTTATAGAGAGACCATTGTAGGCAGTATATGAGGCATATGAAATAATTTTAATTGGGCCCGAATTCTCAATCTGTTATTATTATAGAGTGAAAATCGTTACAGAAAAAGCCATCATCATATAAACCTACACATTAATTTCACCATTATTTGTATCATTAATAAATTGGATATATATTTGGTAAATAATTGTTTCATCATAGACAACGTAAAACTGCATCCTGTTTCCTAAAATAGAACTAATGTTATTTAGTGTCGGTGAATTTATTTAAAAGTTCAATGTTATTATTTCCTAATCTGAGAATTTGAGTTAAATTATTAACTGATTTTGATTGATAATAGGAGTAGCGGTAGTAGATGTGATGGTAGTGATAAAATTGTTAGATGGTAAATTATTTATATCGGGTAAAGGTTTTGATGGTAAAGAATAAAAAACTTGTATTTTTAATTATTATTACGATTAGAATGGTTTAGATTAGGAATATAAGTCACATAACAACTACCACCAACTCCTATTTTTTTATGCAGCTTCTGACAACCTTCTCCATTTTCTTGATTTATTAATTCGACATACTTGACAAGTATTTTCCTTCACTTATAAATATTATTATATTATAAATGATAATTTTTGAAACGGGATTCTTATTCTATATTTAATGATTGCAGGAGAATAATGATTATTTATTATAGATTTATGTCTTGTGATTTACATATATAAATGATCAGTTTTTGATTGTCACGGGAACAAATTGACCATTGCAACCTCCAAATTTTTGAATAATCTTTAAATTGATTTTTCTTTTACACTTTATGTGGTTTAATTATAATCAATAATTCTAAAACCTTTCTAATGTCCAAAAATTTACATTTAAGGGTCCATTTTATAAACTAATTCAATAGCCCAACAATAATAAATTAAACTAATAAACATTTCATTTGATTTATTGCTAATATTCTTCCTGGACATATTCTAGAACCACCACCAAATATTAAAGTGTCCTTTTTATTGTTATCATCATTTAAAAATTGTTCAGGATTAAACTCACCCATATCAATGGATCTAAATTCATAGCTAATGCATTTATCAAAAATATTGTGTTGATGTTGGTTGACCATTTAAGACCCCAATTGTATCATCCTCACTATTTATACGATTAATTGAATCAATAAGTGGTAATGCTCTTGCAGTTTCTTTGATAATATCATCGCAATAAACTAGGCGGGACAATTTTTCTTGAGTAATAATTTTAAAAATCCTAAAGAATTTGGCTGGCTTAATTATAAAAATCATAATTATTTCAATAACATATATATAATCTTCTTTTTTCCTCTTAAAAAGAAAATCACATATATACATTCATTTTGTCCCTTTATCGGGTTTTTTCCATAATGAAATAATTTTGAAAGTTTTGACTAGTTGATTCGTTAATTTTGAATTTTCATTCGATCAGCAAAATATTCATACAATTTATTTTTGCTGCAAGAAATAATCAATCAGATGATGTATTACGTACTTTATGGAAACTATTAAATTCCTCTATAATGATTTCGCGTCAAATCTGCTCTAATTGTTAGTTCATCTTGTGAATTAACCACTTTTAACATAGTTTATTTCTTATTGTTCTGCAAGATTTTCCACTTGGAGAAAATGAAGACTCAATGGTTTTATATTCTGTAAAATGCTATGATAAGCTTGTTTGTTAGAATTTTTTACTTAATAAAAGGCTGCCGTATTTTATTACATATAAGCAAAGAATAATTTAGCCATTACTATTTGAAACTATGATGTTTAGCTAAAATTTTATTGAAAATATTTTAGGATGTCTAAAATCATAATCATAAACCAAAGAACAAGTTTTCTGGCTATTTTAATTTTATTTAGGGATATTTAATAACTTTAACATGACCACACCATCAATATCCAGGCGATGTAAATATAATTGGTCAAACAAAATATTTTACCGTAAAGTCCTGAAAGATAGCACCCCCCTCTTTTACAATATGATCGGCATTCAATTTGAGCATTAAATTAACCAAAAAAGGTAACGAGATTATACTAAGCAGTTTGCTCTGTGTGGATTTGATATAATAAGTCATGACTTTTGGGGTGTGTATCCACTATGTGGGAATCTTATAAACGTTCATGAGGCTTCAATAGAAGATGTTAATGATAAAGAAATTAAAAATATTGAAAAAATGCTTGGTTTAGAACAAAATAAACATTACAGCTCAACAAAAGAGTTGCGTTATGGCAAAATAATGTTAATGACTGACCAAGATTATGACGGTAGTCATATAAAAGGCGGGAAGGTTGTTTAGCATGATTGGTTCTCCTAAAGAAGAAGTGCTAATAACTAACCAGAGGTAACT